CCACTCACGGCCAAGAAGGTGCTCAAGGCCTTCGCCGCGGCCTACGCCAAAAAAACGGGCGAGGCCCTCGACGTCGCGTCCCTGGGCCTCCGCGCCGACGCCAAGGCGTCGACGACGCTCGCGCCGGCCGACGACGTGCGGCGCGTCGTCGCCGACGGGGGCGCGGTCTTCGTCGTCCGCGCCGCGGCGCCCGCGCTCGCGGGCGCCGTCGTGGGGCGGTCGGCGCTGGGCCCGCTGCCGAGCGCCGCGGCCAAGGCGGGCCCCGCGCTGCTCCCCGACGGCGCGGCGGCCGACGGCCCGCGGCCGCCCGCGCGGGACTTCGGCGGACCGCGCCACGACGACGCGGAGCGGCGCCTCCGGTCGAGCCTCGGGTCGCGCTACGATTTGGACGCCGTGCTCAGGCACGCCGACGGCGGCCGCCTGCGGCGCGCCCTGTCGCGGCCGAAGCCTTCCGTGTGCTACCTCGGCGGGTCCATCACGGAGCAGCGCGACGGCTGGCGGCCGCGGTTCCACGCGTGGCTCTCGAAGCGGCTGGACACGTCGGTAACCGCCGTCGACGCGTTCTGCGGCAACGCGGGCTCGACGCTGCTGGCCTTCACGACGAAGGACTGGGTCATCCGCGCGGCGCCGGACGCCATCTTCGTCGAGGTCGCCGTCAACGACGGCGATTGTCTGTTAGAGGCCGGCGGCGTTGATACGGCGCGGGGCCGGGACGTGTCGCGCGCGCTCGAGGGCATCGTCCGCGGCATCCGCGAGGCGTTGCCCGACGCGGCGATCGTCTTCGTGGAGATGTTCCTGCGGGGCGACCTCCCGAGCGCGCGGCGCTCGGGCACGAAGGCCTGGGTCGACGCGGGCGCGGGCGACGGCGCGGCCGACGTCTACCGCGTCGACGTCGTCGCGGCCCACGGCGCCGTCGCGGCGCGCTACGGCTGCGCCCAGCTGAGCTTGATCGACTTCTTCCGGGGCTTCCCGCCGCGGGGCCTCGACGCGCTCTTCCGCGACGACTGCCACCACCAGGAAGCCGGCGCGGACTACGCGGCGTGGGCCGTCGCGGCCGGCGTCGAGGCGCTGCTCGTCGGCGACGCCGGCGGCGAGGCCCGGTGCCCGCTCCCCCGGCCCCTGGACGCGGCCTTCTGGCGCTCCAACGGCGCGCACCGCTTCGACGGCGACCCGAACTTCCTCACGCCGGGCCGGCCGTTGGCGGGCGACCCGCCGCGGGGCACGGCGGACCGGTGCCCCGTCACGGGCCGGCCCGCGGCCTGGACCTGGCTCTTCGCCGCCGACGGCGAGTCGGCGCGGTGCCACTTCGACGGCACGGCCCTCGGCATTTTGACCCACGTCGGCCCGGACTCGGGCCGCCTCGCCGTGTCCGTCGACGGCGGCAAGCCCGTCGTCGTCGACATGGTCGACGAGTGGTGCTACTACTGGCGGTCGACGATCGTCATGCTCGCGACGGGCCTCGACCGCGGCTTCCACGACGCGACGATCACCGTGCTCCCGGGGCCGCCGGACCGGTCCCGGCTCAAGCGGCCCATCACGGACCCCAACTTCCTCGAGCACCCCCACCTCGGCATCGCGCCGAAGCTCTGGCTCATGTGGTTCGTCTCCGTCGGCGGGTAATCTCTTTTGAAGGGTGGCTCTTCGTCGCATCTCGTCGCCGCGACTTACGCCGCGCGCCATCGCTGCCCCCGGCCTTTGACTCGAGCCGATCTTATATCATTCTTGTATATCATTCCAAGCGGGCGCACCTGCTTGCGCAACCGCCTCTTAAAACCAAACAACGCGTCGACCTCATCCGTCGTCGTTCTAACCTCTCTTCTCCCACCTCACACCCACCTTCTCCACCATGCGCGAGTGCATCTGCATCCACATCGGCCAGGGCGGCATCCAGGGCGGCAACGCCTGCTGGGAGCTCTTCTGCCTCGAGCACGGCATCCAGCCCGACGGCCAGATGCCCTCGGACAAGACCATCGGCGGCGGCGACGACGCCTTCAACACCTTCTTCTCGGAGACGGGCGCCGGCAAGCACGTCCCCCGCGCCGTGTACGTCGACCTCGAGCCCACGGTGTGCGACGAGGTCCGCACGGGCACGTACCGCCAGCTCTACCACCCCGAGCAGATCATCTCGGGCAAGGAGGACGCGGCGAACAACTACGCCCGCGGCCACTACACGATCGGCAAGGAGATCGTCGACCTCGTCCTCGACCGCATCCGCAAGCTCGCGGACAACTGCACGGGCCTCCAGGGCTTCCTCGCGTTCCACGCGACGGGCGGCGGCACGGGCTCCGGCCTCGGCTCGCTCATCCTCGAGCGCCTCTCCGTCGACTACGGCCGCAAGTCCAAGCTCTCCTTCTGCATCTCCCCGGCGCCCCAGATCTCCAACGCCGTCGTCGAGCCCTACAACTCCGTGCTCTCGACGCACGCGCTCCTCGAGCACACGGACGTGACCTTCTGCCTCGACAACGAGGCCCTCTACGACGTGTGCCGCCGCAACCTCGACATCGAGCGCCCGACGTACACGAACCTCAACCGCCTCTTCGCCCAGGTCGCGTCGTCGCTCACGGCGTCGCTCCGCTTCGACGGCGCGCTCAACGTCGACATCACCGAGTTCCAGACGAACCTCGTGCCCTACCCGCGCATCCACTTCATGCTCACGTCGTACGCCCCCGTCATCTCGGCGGAGAAGGCGTACCACGAGCAGCTGTCGGTCGCGGAGATCACCAACTCCGTCTTCGAGCCCGCGGGCATGATGACCAAGTGCGACCCCCGCCACGGCAAGTACATGGCGTGCTGCCTCATGTACCGCGGCGACGTCGTCCCCAAGGACGTCAACGCCTCCGTCGCGACCATCAAGACGAAGCGCACGATCCAGTTCGTCGACTGGTGCCCCACGGGCTTCAAGTGCGGCATCAACTACCAGCCGCCCACGGTCGTCCCCGGCGGCGACCTCGCCCGCGTCATGCGCGCGGTCTGCATGGTCGCCAACACGACGGCCATCGCCGAGGCGCTCTCGCGCATCGACCACAAGTTCGACCTCATGTACGCCAAGCGCGCCTTCGTCCACTGGTACGTCGGCGAGGGCATGGAGGAGGGCGAGTTCTCCGAGGCCCGCGAGGACCTCGCGGCCCTCGAGAAGGACTACGAGGAGGTCGGCGCCGAGACCGCCGAGGGCGAGGGCGAGGAGGAGGACTTCGGCGAGGAGTACTAGGCGAAAGCCACCCACCACAACCAGGCCCGGGCCTCCGGTCAAGTCGACCTAAGCACGGGCGAATTCTACTTTTGTTTGCGACGCGTGGGCGGCGGAACGCGTCCGGTCGTCGATGTTCGAGAGGTGGGGGTAAATTAGTGAACCTTGCCTTCAACTTATGGGCTGTCTAAAAGCAAAAATGATGCGATGGTGAGAATGAAATGGTGGCCGCTCTGCTGCTGCCTCGCGACGGCAACGACGCCCGAGTGGAGCGCGCGCAAGGCGCGGGTCATGGACGCGATGCGCGCGTCCGTCGCGAAGAGCACGCGCCATCCGCTCGCGGACCCGCAGCTCAGACTCGACGCGCGCGAGTTCCTCGTCGTCGTCGGCACGAAGGACGGCAACGGCAGCGACGTCGTCCTCATGGACGCACCGGAGACGAGCTGCACGAAGAAGTGCGCCGAGTTCCGGGACCAGTTCGTGTCGTCGCTCGCCGCGGCCGCGACGGGCCGCTGCCCGGGGCTGCCCCGCGCGGCGCCGCGCGCGGCGTTCCTCGTCCGCGAGGCGTCCGTGGGCTGCGCCGACGACCGCTGCGACCTGTACCCGACGCTCACCTTCGCGCGCGCGCCCTGGAAGTGGAACGCGACGCGGGGCGTCATGTCCCCGAACCCCTATTTCGGCGCGTTCGACGCGTGGCGCGGCCGGTCCGACGCCATGGCGGCCGCGGCGGCCGCGCGGCCCCTCGAGGCCCGCGTGCCCCGCGCGTTCTGGCGCGGCGGCGTGTCGCTGCCCAAGGAGTCGTGCCGCGACGCGGCGCCCGCGCGCCCAGGCAAGCGCGAGTCGCTCCGCGAGCGCCTCGCGGCCGTCGACCTCACGCTGCGGCGGCCGGACCTCTTCGACGTCGGCCCGGGCTACGCGAACCTCACGGAGCGGAAGCGGCGCCGCATCGCGGCGAGCGTCGTGTCCTGGCTCGAGTGCGAGGCGCGCGGCCGCGGCGAGACGCCGTGGCGCGCGTCGCCGGCCGGCGCCGCGCGGCTCGGCGACGCGGGCTTCGTCCACTTCACGGAGTACAGCCGCTACCAGGCGCTCCTGAGCCTGCCGGGCGGCTCGAACTGCTCCTTCTCGCGGAACCTGAACCACATCTGGGCCGCGCGCGCGCCCGTGCTCCTCTGGCGGCGCGCGTCCGCCGGCGCGCCGCCGCTCTACGACGAGTGGTACTACGCGGGGTTGGACGACGGCGCCACGCACCTGGACGTCGGCGGCGGCACGGCCGCCGCGGCCGTCGCGGCGCTGCTCGGGCCCGGCGGCCGCGGCGACCGCGCGCGCCTCGCGGCCGCCGCGGCCGCCGTCCACGACACGTTCCTCTGCCCCTGCTGCGTCGCCGAGTTTTACGCGAGGCTGCTGGAGGCGATCGCCGAGCGCCAGCGCGGCGCGGACCTCGACGCGCTCGCGGACGCGCGGACCTGGCAGAAGCGGGAGGCGTACGCCGTAAGTTGAAGGCCTACTTGAGTGCAACGTGATGCGACATTGCGCCGGGATCGCGGCAATGGAGTCGGCTCGTGCAACCCGTTAGTCCGTTAGGGCGTTATTGGCCTCGGACGGTCGCCCGCTAACGGGCGTTAGGTCGTTATTGGCTTTTTAAGGATCGGGTGGCTGGGTGTTATGGGTGTTATCGAGAATTTTCGCCAGGGTGTTATTGATTTTGAAAAATCGAGTGGCTGCCATCGGCAGGGTGTTATTAGTGTTATTTGATTGGCTAGCTAGGGTGTTATCGCGTTATTGCTAACTAGCTGTAACGGGTTGCACGAGTCTAATGGAGAGCTCGATCACGGAGAGCACGGCGCTCTGGTACGTCGGCGGCCGCGCCTGCGAGCTGCGCGCGCGGCCGCTGCCGGAGCCCGGCGCCAACCAAGTCTTGGTCGTCGCGACGCACGGCGCCGTGAGCCGCGGGACGGAGACGCTCGTGCTCGAGGGTTTGGTGCCGGCGTCGGAGTCCGAGCGCATGCGCTGTCCCCACATGGACGGCGCCTTCTCGTTCCCGGCCAAGTACGGCTACGTGAGCGTGGGCTACGTGGCGCGCTGCGGCGCCGGCGCCGAGGCGCTCCAGGGTCGGCGCGTCTTCTGCCTGCACCCGCACGAGACGGCCTACGTCGTCGACGCGGCCATGGCGAACCCGATCCCCGCGGGCACGCCGTCGCCGCGCGCCGTGCTCGCGCCGAATTTTGAGACGGCGATCAACGTCGTCTGGGACGCGAAGATCTCCGTCGGCGACCGCGTCGCCGTCGTCGGCGCGGGCGTCGTCGGATGCCTCGTCGCGTACGTCGCGTCCAAAATCCCGGGCTGCGCCGTGGTCCTCGTCGACGTCAACCCTGCCCGCCGGCGCGTCGCCGAGCGGCTCGGCGTCGGCTTCAGGCTCGCGAGCGACCTCGACGCGAGCGACGGCGACCGCGACGTCGTCGTCCACGCGTCGGGCCATCCGGCGGGCGCGGCGACGGCGCTGGGCCTCGCGGGCGACGAGGCCCTGGTCGTCGAGGCGTCCTGGTACGGCGCGCGGCCCGTGGCGCTGCCCCTCGGCGAGGCCTTCCACGCGCGGCGCCTCACGCTGCGGTCGAGCCAGGTCGGGCAATTGCCGGCGGACCGGCGGCCGCGCTGGACCTACGCGCGGCGCCTCGCGGTCGCGCTGGATTTGGCGGCGGACCCGACGCTGGACGTGCTCTTCGAGGACGCGTGGATCGACTTCGACGAGCTCCACGAGGCGATCCCAAGGGTGTGCGGCGACGGCGCGTCCGGTTTGTGCCACCGGATCTTCTATCCTGCGCGTCCCGTCGACGTCGGCGCCGGCTGGTCGAGCGTCTACAGCCAGGCCAAGGGCGTGCCGTACTACACCAACGAGACCGCGGGCACGACGCGGTGGAAACCGCCGGACCATCTCCCGGGACCCCCGGCGAACGCGCCTCACTAAAAACGTTCAAAGTTAACTTCTTGGATATGTCAAAAAAAGGCCACATCGCGCGACGTTCCTGCAGTGCGTGCCCCCGCTCCCGGCCGCCGCCTCGCCCCGCGCCGTCGTCGCCCGACGTCTTCGCCCGCCCCCGGGGGTGGCGGCGACCACGGGCCGCGGTGGGGAAGCGCCGCCGCCCCCGGAACCGAGCGACAAGACCGCGGCGCCGGGGGCAGCCCAGCAAGGAAGAGCGCCCGAACCCGACCCGATGGCCGAGACGAGCTCCATGATCAAGGTCGCGCCCGCGGCGCCGGAGCGGGCCGTCGCGCGGCGGCCGAGCTTCACGCTCCTCGCGTCCGAGGACCTGAGCCCGCTCGTGCTCCGGACGGCGTTCGTGCTCGCGGCGTGCGCGGGATGCACGAACGCCGCGGCCATGCTCGGGGCCTTTTCGGCGCCGGGCATCGGGGCGACGGGCGTGACCCACGTGACGGGGAGCCTGACGAAGATGGGCATGGTCGTCGCGGACCACGACCGCGCGCACTCCGCGCCCGCGCTCGCCATTTTAGGCTACGTCTCCGGCGCCGCCGCCGCGGGCGCGTCCGCGCCCCCGGGGCTGCTGGACCTGGACCGCCTGCGCGACTACGCGGCGATCCTCTTCGCGACGGCGCTGCTCCTGGCGGGCGCCGCGGGGCTCCAGGAGCTGGACCACGGCCACGGCTTCGGGTTCCTGCCGGTCGTCGCCGCCGCGGCCGCGTGCGGCGCGCAGAACGGCCTGGCCACGGCGGCGACGTCGTCCATCGTGCGCACGACGCACATGACGGGCATGGCCACGGACGTCGGCCTCATCCTCGGCCGCGCCGCGGGCCGCCTGCGCCGCGGCGACCGCGGGCCCGACGGCGCGCGGCCGGGCTTGACGGGGCCCGAGCTCTGCCGCCTGGGCCTCTACGGCCGCCTGGCCCTGGGCTTCGTCGGCGGCGCCGCCGTGGGCTCCGCCCTCGTCGACAAGCTCGAGCTCAAATACGCGCGCGCGCTCTACGCGCCCGCGGCCGTCGTCCTCGCCGTCGCCGCGGCGGCCGCGGCCATGGGCGGCGGCCGCGCGGCCGCGGGCGGCGACGTCGAACTGCCGGCGCGGACGGCCGACGCCGCCATCGAGGAGGCCGGCGAGCAGAAGTCGGAGCAGGTCTAGGCGCGGGCGGGGCGACCCCCCGCCGCCCGTCCCCCCCGACGTAAGCGCCTGTGCACAAGACGCGACGCCTCGGTCCGCGCGGGGATAGGCCTCGTGGCGCGGGTCTCGCGGCGCCGCCACCATGGCGCACATTCCCCCGACGGCAAGCACGTGAGGGGCTGCCTTGCAAGCCAATGGAGACGACGCCGGGCTGCCTCTCCCGGCCCGCGTCGCCGCCGCCGAACGTCCTTCACGCGCTGCTTCCCCCGCCGTCGCCGGGACCCGTCGAGGCGCCCGCACCGACGCTTTCGTGCGTCGCCGCCACGCGAGACAACTGCAAGATCACGTTTTCGCTTCGGCGCACGCCATCGGACGCCGCTCTCTCGAGCGACAGCGAGGACGGCCTCCCCTACCGCGTGATCCACGAGCGGCGGCGCTTGGCGGCGCTCGCTTCCTCGGCGGCCGTGCCCGTGACGCCGCCGCAGACCGTCGCGCCGCCGCCGGACACCGAGCCGCCGCCGGCCGTCGAGCGCCGCGCGCCGAGGAGGCGGAAGCGGTGGGCGGCCGGAAGCGGGGGGCAGCCGCTCACGCTCAGAACGAAGCAGCGGAAGCGGAAGCTCGCGACCGCGCCCGTGCCGCCGCCGCGAGCCGCCGAGCCGCCGCGAGCCCCCAAACGCGCCGCGCCGAAAAAACAACAGCAGCTCGAGACGGACTCGGGGCCCACCGATGGGCGCAAGCGGAAGCCGACGGCGCTGTTCGTCGCCGAGAGCGCGAGCGTCGACAACAGGAAGCTCCGCCTCGGCGGGGACGCGGAGGGAGACGTCGGCGGGGACGCGCCGAAGGAGCCCAAGGGGCCAGAGGGCGTGCTGAGCAAGCCTCCGAGCAACAGCAGAAGACGCTTCGCGGACTGGGAGGACGATATCATTAACGAATGCATGCGCGAGGGCGGCCTCAGTTGGGTGCAGATCGCGGAGCGCATCCCTGGTCGCGACGGAAGCGGAAGACAGTGCCGCGCGCGGTGGCTGAACCACCTGGATCCGTCCCTCGATAAGAGCCCCTGGACGCCCGAGGAGGACGCGATCCTGGTCAAGGCGCATCAGCGCCTGGGAAACAAGTGGGCAAAGATTGCGGAATTGCTGCCCGGTCGCGGGGGTGCCGCGATCAAGAACCGCTGGCATAGTTCGGCGCATGAGGGGGATACAAGGAAAAGGTAGACACCCGCCGCTAGAATGTGGTACTCCGGCGCCTCAAGCGCAGCTGGGGGGCGTTCAACAGCAAGCGTTGACGGCAACGAGCCGTGGGTGAACCTCACTTAGCCGATATCCGGCAGCGACGTCCGCCGCTTGGGCCGCGGGACGACGCGGGGTAGGAAGGACGCGAGGAAGGACAGCGGGCTCCACGTCGTCGCCTCCTCGAACTCGACGCCGTCCGCGCACATGAGGTCGAGGATCGCGTCGAGGGGCGCCTCGTCGTCGGCGTAGTACTCGGCGGCGTCGCGGGAGAAGCCCATGTCGCGCAGGATCGCGACCTGCGACTCGACGACGCGGCGGCTCGACCGGCCGCCGCCGCCGCCGCCCCAGTCGACGTGCGCGGACGTCGGCGCGTCGAACACGTCGGAGGAACCGCGCGCGCGCGCCCACCAGGCCCGCTTCGCGCCGCCCGCGCCGGCGCGCTCGTCCTCCTCCGGCGCCGCGTCGGCCGGCGGCGCCGCGGCGTCGCGCCGCGACCGCCGCCGCCGCGCGGCCGCCGCGTCCTCGCGCTCCGACGCCTCGAAGTCGAAGTCGCCCGCGCGCCGCGCCCGCGCGGCGCACTGGCAGTTGCGCCAGCCGCACGCGTCGCACTTGCCCGCGCCGCGCGCCGCCGCGGGCTCGCGCTCCGGGCCCGCGTCGTGCTCGACGGCCGCGTGGCGCCGGAGCCGGCGGCGGCTCGGGAAGGCCTCGCCGCAGGCGGCGCAGCGGAAGACCTGGGCCGTGCCCGCGCCGCGCGCCTGCTGGCCGTGGCCCTCGTAGGCGAACGCGCGCGGCTTCGGCGCCGGAGCCGCGGACGGCCGCGGCGCGGCGCGCGCCGGCGCCGGCGCGCGCCGCGCGGCCTCGAAGGCCTCCTGCACGCGCTGGAACGCCTCGGCGCTGCCGCCCTTGTCCTACGATTTGGAGAAGTTGATGGCTGCCCCATTCCCGCGGAGTGTGGCTGCCCCAATTCCCGCGCGACGCACCGGATGGCTCCGCAGCGCCGCCCGCAGGAACGCCCGGCGCAGCGCCTCGGGCGTCGCGCCCGCGTCGACGTCGAGTAGCCGCCGCGCTGCTGCCGCGTCCATGGCACGCTGGTCATGGGCTCATGGGGCAGCCCATCGTGAGCTCAGCCTTCTTCCTCGTTTACTTCGGCTCGCTGCAGTCGAGACCCGGGTCCGGCGCTGATTGGTCCTTTCAAGTTTGAATTCGCATGCGCGCCGCCCATTGCTCGGACCTCGGGTGGAAGGCTGGCGTCCATCGATTAGCCTTCCCGCGCAGCGCTTGTGAAGAATTCTTACGCACTAGTGCACTGTGGCAAAACTCAAACCCACTCCATCTTCGCCACCATGTCCGCTGCAGCGCCCGCGACGCCGCGCGCCCTCCCCGCCTCCCGCGTCGTCCCCGCCGTCGCGCGCCGCCCCGCGCCGCGCCGCGCGCCCCGAGGATCCCAAGCGCCCGCGCGCTTCGAACCCGGCGCGCCTCGTCAGGTTCCGCTCCATCGTCGCCGCCCTCGTCCTCGCGTCCTCGAGCGCCCTCGTGCTCGAGTTCGACCCCACGTTCGTGGGCAACAACACGGTGCACTACGGCGACCCGAAGAACGGCTGCATGGCCGACGAGGAGTCCGTGCAGATCCAGGGCGTCTCCGGCGACGTGTGCACGCCCAAGTGCTCCCTCCTCAAGAAGTGCCCCACGGACGTGCCCACGGGCGTCACCGTCGCGCCCCAGTGCGCCCTCCAGGACGCCGCGACCAAGTCCAAGTACTGCGCGCTCATCTGCAAGCCCGGCGCGGACGACGACGCGCAGTGCGGCGGCGCGACGTGCCAGAAGGTCCAGCTCGGCCTCGGCATCTGCACCTACGCCGCCTAGGCGTCGTGCCGCGGGCGCGCCCAAAATGCCCACGCGAGCGGCGCCCGTTTTGTGACTACCGCGGCCGCGGCCGCGCCGCGGGCCCTCGCGGGCCCGCGGCGCGCGCGCGGCGGCGAGACCCCTAAAGCAACGAGATTGTGACTTGGCTGTGTCTCTTTGGGGCGGATTGGTGGCTTTGAGACTTGCGCGGAGGGCTCGGCAGTGAGACGGCTAAAGCTGAAGTTTGCGGCGCTCGCACGATCCGAGTCGCGCAGAGAGAGCTCAAAAAGGCTGCGAGCCTCGTCTCGCGCCTAGTGCCCCGTGCGTCGAGTCGGCCGCGCGACGCTCCAAGACTCGCGCCGCGCGTCGCGCCGTGCGAGTCGGGCAGCTTCCAGGCCGAAGCGCGCGCGCCGCGCCGCCGCGCAGCGCCCGCAAGGAAAGTCGCCTTCACCCACCAGAGCCATGGGCAAGAAGAAGGGCCAGACGGAGCGGACGCGCGTGAGCGCGCACGAGGACCGCCTCAAGCTCAACGGCGTCGCCTGGGCCGCCAAGCTCGGCATCCCGACGGACGAGGAGTTCTGGGCCAAGTGGGCGACGCTCGACGACGCGACGGTGATGGTCGAGCCGCCGGTCAAGGACGGGAGCCGCTGCGCCTACGGCTGCAAGCGCAAGGTCTACTTCCTCGAGTCGAACGCCCGCACGCACTCGCAGAACTGCGACGGCGTCTGCGACCGCCGCGCGCAGAAGATCATCGCGAACTTCGGCTTCAGCCGCGAGCACAACACGGGCACGACGGACGGCGTGCTCAAGCGCGCGCGGCGCGGCGCCGCGGGCGGCGGCAAGCGCGGCGCGGGCGGATCGAAGACCGGCATCGACGACGCGCGGTCGGCGCCCGAGTCGAGGGGCTTCGGCGCGCGCGACAAGCCGACCCACTGCCCCAAGGCGGCGCCGAGGGAGAAGCTGCCCTACTTCCGGCGCTGCCGCCGCGAGGACGCCGAGGCGGGCTTCGTCTGCGAGAAGCCGCGCCGGCTCGAGAGCGGCTACTGCAGCGAGCGGTGCCGGCGCCTCGCCGAGGGCGGCGGCGACGGCGACGCGCCGGCGCCGCCCCCGCGCCGCGGCGCGCCCGTCGGCAGCGGGGAGTGGGCCGCGGACGAGGCGCCGCCCGCGGCGCCCGTCGGGAGCGCGACGTGGGCCGCGGCGCCGCGGCCCGTCGCGCCGCGGCCGCCGCCGCCGCCCGCGGCGCCGCGCATGCGGCCCGAGGGCGCCATCCGGACCGTCGTCGACGACCGCTACGGCTTCATCCACGCCGACGACGAGAAGATCGGCCGCGACCTCTTCTTCCTCTGGTCCGCGCTCGGGGGACGGAACGCCGACCGCAAAGCGGCGGTCGGCGAGCGCGTCGCCTTCGATCTGGGCGAGTGGAAGGGGAGGATCGTGGCCCAGAACCTCACGAAAGTCGCGCCGCCGCCGCGCCGCGCGGCCGCCGCCGCGCGGCCGCCGGGGCCGACGCCGCGGGACCTCGCGGCGCGCGAGCAGGCCGAGCTCGAGCGCGTCCTCGCGCTCAGCATGCAGGGCCTCGCGGTCCACCCGGAGCTCGCCGACTCGCGCGAGGACGTCGAGCTCGCGCGCGCGCTCGCGCTCTCGCGCGAGCAGGCCGCCCCGCCGGTCTCCCCCGTCCGCGAGGACGACGACGACGACCTCGCCTGGGCCCTCGAGCTCTCGCGCGCGTCCGAGCCCGGCTCCTTCGACGCCGGCGGCGCGGACCCCTGGGAGCGCGTCGTCGACGCGCAGAGCGGCGCGCCCTACTGGTGGAACCGCGACACCGACGAGACGACGTGGGACGACCCCGCGGCGGGCCGCGACGGCGGCGGCCTCTCCGCGGCGCTCGACGGGAGCGCCGCCGCGCCCTTCGACACGCTCGAGGGCATGCTCCGCGCCGTCGGCCTGTCGGACCTCGCGCCGGCCCTCGCGGCCGAGGAGGTCGACCTCGAGACGCTGAAATTCCTCTGCCTCGACGACCTCGTCTCGGACCTCGGCATCCCCGAGGCTCAGGCCGCGGCCCTCCTCGCCGCGCGGGACGCGCGCGAGAGGGGGCAGGCGGGGCTGGCGTAAGGATGCTTCTGTGATCAAAAGACCGGCTTAAAGCGCGCGAAGAAAGGCTCGGCGGCTTCAAAGAAGGTCTCGAGCTCGCCTTCCGGCCACAGGCCAAGGAGCTTCTGGAGCACGAGCTCCGAGACGTTGGCAACGCCGCTCCGGGCGGCGGATATGAGGCAAACCGTCGATATTCTGAGCGCGATCTCGTCGACGGGCAGGTCGCGGTACTCGAAGGATTCCTCGGCTTTGTAGAGCTTCGCGGACGCGAGCATGGCTTTCGAATATTCCAGCTTGCGGCGCGTCTCCGCGGCGACCTTCGCGTCGGGGAAGTTCGCGGCGCGTTCAAAGTGATCGATGGCCTTGGCGTAGTCGACGCGGCCGCCGGGGGCGAGATCTCCGTTGCCCCACAGGATGCCGAGTAGGTAGTGCAGCTCGGGCCTTTTGTCCTCGGCGACGGCGCGCTTCCGCTTCGGGTCGATCAGCGACTCGAGGAAGCCCGCGACTTTGCTCGTGTCCTGGCCCGGCCACCCGGGGTCGCGCCCAAACACGAGGTGGAGGTTCGCGACGCGGCGGATGGCGTCCGCGTCGCCGTCGCGCGCGGCCATCGAGAAGTACTTGTCCGCGCGGTCGAAGACAGCGTAGCGCGTGGCCACGGGAACGCTCGGATTCATACCGTAGTGCCGCATGAGACGCGAGCCCAGGGCGTCGGCGCCTTCCAGTCCTTTCGTGCCGCCGCCGCAGCGCGCGCACATGACCATAGCCCGCGCGACCTTGGCCTCGTCCGGAGGGCCGAGGTTTCCGGGCATGTGGAGCTTCGCCAGCGCATCCCAGGCGAAGGGATCGCCGCCAAGCGCCGCCGACCGCTCCATGAAGTCGATGCCGCGCGCGATGTCGAGCTCGATGCCTGGCAACGGGAACACGTGGACGGGCATGGCGCCGCCCGTGAAAAGGCCGTGGCCGCCGTCGAGGTACGCGTTTCCGAGGAGCAGCAACGCCTCCGGGCACCCGCGCGCCGCCGATTCCTTGAAGTAGGCGTAGGCTTGGGCCTTGTCCTCCGCCGAGCAGCGCGGGAGTAAGTTCCACTGGTTCCGGTCCACGCCGTACTTCTTGGCGACGGTTTCCACGAACTTCGTGGCTTTTGGGTCCTTCCGCTCCCAGTAGATCTTTGCCAGCGAGAAGAGGGCGCTCGGACTCGTGGCCACCCGCTTCTCCAAGCGTTCCTTCCGGTCCTTCTCGGACGTCGCCGACCGCGCGCCGCAGTTCGGGCATTTTCCAATTACGGCGGAATCCATCACCGTGCTCAGCTTCGAGAGGTTCGCCTTGTCGGACATGTTCACGGGGAGCGTCAAGCCGTGGTCGCGGAGTTTCGCCTTCATGCCCTCCGGGTCCTCTCCCATCGCGTGGGACGTGTGCTTGATGCCGCACTTCGAGCAGAATTCGACGCCGCAGCACTCCCGCTCCGTGCAGTTCTCGCGGACGTAGGGCAGCGTGTCCATGCAGTAGAGGCAGGTTCCGCGCGGCGGGAGCGGCGCCTTCTCCGCCTCGTCGATGGCCGCGAACACGCGCGCCATCGCCTCCGGATCCACGGGCGGCGCGGCGGGAGGCGGGTCGCGGCGCGGCGCGACGGCGGGCGCCTCGCGGCGCGCCGCGGCCTTGGCGTGTTTTTTTATGGCCTTACACTCTTTCTTGTGGCCGTCCCAGGCGGCCGCCTGACAGTCGCGCGAGCAGTAGACCGCCGTCTTGCATCCGGCGCACTGCTTGAGGTCGGCGGCGGCGAGGCCGCAACGGTCGCATGTCGTCTCAACCATCAGGCCCAAGGTGCGAATCGGGAGGGGCGCTCCGCGGCACGCTGGGTCGCTCGCAGAATTGAGCGCTCGCCGAACGCAAATCTGCCACTCCCAGCTTCTCGAGTCACGCCTCGGATTCAGCCATGGACGACCTTCAGCGTGCACGCCTGCGCAGCACGCGAGAGCTGATCTCGGCGCGATCGACGCAAGCCGCAAATTCCTACGTCGCACGTCCGGAGCACGTCGAAATTAGCGTCGACGACTTCGAGGAGAAGGAGGAGGCCGTCGAGGAGGAAAAGGCCGAGGAGACGTGCTCGATCTGCCTCGACGGCGGCGTCGACCGCGCGCTAAGCTGTGGTCATGCGTTCCATGAGATGTGCCTCGCGGGCCTCGTAAGGAGCCGCGTCGATGAGGCGCGCGTCCGCGACATCCGGTGCCCCGGCACCGCGGACGCGCCGGCGTGCGACGTCGCGCTCCGCGACGACGAGGTCCGCGCCCTCCTCGACGCCGAGGGCCGCGACAAGTACGCGCGCTTCCTGCGGCTCGCGGAGGATCCGGCCGCCGTCGAGTGCCCGTCGTGCGGCGCGGCCGCGGCCGGCGAAGGCATCGTCACCTGCGCCGTCTGTTTTCTCGACTTTTGTAAGGTCCACGGCACGGCGCATCCGCCGGATGCCGCGGCCTGCCGGCGCTTCGCGCGGCGGCACCGCCGCGCGGAGCGGCGGTCGCGCCGAGCCGTCGAGAGCCTGTCGAAGCCGTGCCCCGGTTGCGGCGCGCCGGTCTGCAAGAGCAGCGGCTGCAACGTCATGTGGCCTGTGTGCAAATCAAATCTTCAACCCGACTTCGATGTGAGCGTATTCGAATGTTTCGACACAAGCTCTTCGGTTGTGCTTCGAGAACTCGACGAGAGAAATCGATCGGTCCAAAAATCAGCCGAATCGACTTCGATTTGTCCGAGCTAGAGAATTTCAAAGTTTGGTCGGGACGTCCCAAACCAGTGGTTGATTTGCACACAGCACATGACCTGCTCCTGCGGCACGAACTTCTGCTGGCTCTGCGGGGACGCCATCGTGCTCGACGGGCCCGAGATCGAGCATTTCCGCGTCGGCGCGTGCGCGGGGCTGCAATTGGCGGCCGCGCCGCGCGACGGGTCGCTCGTCGCGCGCGGCGTCCACGAGTTCGCCGCGTCGCGGTGCGCGTCGCGCGTTTTGGGAACGTTTGCTCTGCTGCTGCTGTCTCCGTTGGCGCTTTTGTGGTCTTTGACGTTCGGGATGATCGCCGCGTCCGCGGCTTTCCTCCCGAAGCGCTTCTCTTCCAACACGCGCATCCTCTATCTGAGCTTCATCATGATCTATCTGCTGCTGCGCGTCGCGGGCCACATCAAGACGCCCGTCACGCTTGACATCATCGTCGTTGTCTTAGCGTTCGCTACGACGCCGTGCCTCATCGCGAACGCGCGCGTCCTCGGCAGCTCGTCCTCGGAGGTCACGACCTGGGCCTGCATCCCCTGCCTACTGTTCCACATCGTCGCCGAGCTCCCGGAGGCCTGGAGCCCCATGGTCTGGATCCGGTCGCTCGAGCGCCGCGAGCGCTGGTTCCTCGAGGTCACGCCGCGGCGCGACGGCCGCCGCCGCGGCGGCCAGTGGCGCCCGCGCCGCGTCCCCGCGTCGCCGCGCCGCGTCCCCGCGTCGCCGACGGCGGACGTGGCGCTTCCCGACTTGCTTCCCGTCTCCCCGACGACGCCCGCCGCCGTCGCCGCGCGCGCCCGCGACGAGCTCGCCGAGGCCTGGTGAGCGCCGCCAACATGATTAAGCGCCGCGCTACGACTCGTCGGCGTGGACCGTCGCGCGGTCGAGGTGGTCCGTCATGCCCACGCACGGGCCGGGGAGCGCCTCGACGCCCGCGTCCGGCTCCGAGTCCGCGTTGAACGAGGGGAGACGCG